CCTTCCAGCCCAGGATCTGAAAGCTGGATGATGAGAACCGACAGAGGAGGCAGGGGCTGTTTCTGCTGTTGGGGCCGGGCTAGGCCGTAGTTATGAGTCCCAGCGAATGTGCAATGCCCGCAGGAATGCGCACGGAGCCCCAGGGTGGCCCGGGGGTCCTGGCAGGACTGGGCAGGCGTCAGGACGCCGCTCCCAGCCGCAGAGCATCCCCGAGCCGCCTTGGAGAGGGGGCCAAGGTGGACCAGAAGTCCCACTTCCAGAGACCCTGGCCCAGGAGGGGAGAGGATGGGTGGCCAAGGGGAGTTGGGGCTGAGGGCTGGGCGCTGCGGAAAGGCTCTTGGGATTCGCGACCCTCCTCCCCGGCCCCCTGCAGCTCCGCCCCCAGCCCCTCCCCCGCCCCCTGTTTGCGCCCCCAGCCCCGGCCCGTCGCGCTCACCGGGGGCGCCGGGGACTGCGGCACCGGCCTCGGGCGGCTCCGGATCCCGGCCTCTGGGAAGCAGGAAGCGGGAATCAGGAAGTGACAGAGGAGAGGGGGGCAGGGGGCGGGGGCGGGGCTGGGGCCCGCGGAGGTGGGGCTGAGGTCACGCGCGGAGGGGCGGGGCGGGAGGCTGCGAGCCGAGCCTGGAGGCCGGGAGCGCAGGGGCGCCCGGGGCGCGGGGGCGGGGCCGGGGCGGGGCCTGGGGAGCCCCGCCCCGCAGAGTTTCGGGTCGCTCTGGGGCTCTGGGTTGGAGGCTGTGGCACCAGTGGGTCTGGGGTCTGAGGCCCTGCAGGTGCGGTCCGCGTCCCTACAGCAGATCCTGCGCTTCCCAGGAGTGGGCGGAACCCCGCCTTCCCCATCCCTCACCCCAGAGCATACTTTAGGGTCCCTCAGTGCACCCCCCCATTCCAAAATACGTTTTCTACTGGGACAGTCGACATATGAACGCACCTCCTTTTAAGTTACAGAAGTATAAGCTCTTGTTTAACGCTGTAAATAAAACAGGTGTTTTAAGGGGTGAGTGGAAGGCTCCGGTCAACTCCTTCCTGATGAATGACCCTGTGTCTCACTGCCTCCTTATTACAAATAAAAACGGGCCGTGCTCCCCAGATCCCTTACGCCTTCCTGTCTCTCCTCAGCCATCTTCCACGGAGACCTGGCGGTCAGTCCCCAGGCCTCGCCCTCCTCGGCAGATCCCATGACAAGGGGGCTGAGTTGTTCCTGTAGGTGTCACAGGCAGAGTCTGCCCACTCCCCTTGGAGCAGTTGTCCCCAGGGCCCCCGCCACCTCCCCTCATTCCTTCAAGAGCCTCTACTGCCCTGGATGACCAAGGGGTGATGGTCAAGTCCCTTTCCCAGAAAGAATGGGGTGTAGGGGGAAAGGGGAAAAGAGCAGAAGTCAGACGGAGCATTTCTCTGGCTCCTCGAAGCCCCCGCCTGTGTGCCCACCTCCCTCGCCCCCCACACCCTGATGAGAGAAGAGCTCAGAGAGGAGAGGCGCGGGACCCAGGTCACCCTTCCAGGACTCAGGCCCCATTTGTTCGGCTGCAAAGTCTTTACTTTTCCCACTGCCCCGCAAACCATGGGCAGGCCAATGGATGGGAATATGGGTGGCTGGGAAGAGGGCAGGCAGCCGCGAAGCCTCCCTCTCCCCGTGTCTGAAGTCCAGACTAGTTAACAGCCTCAGTCGCTGCCCACCCTACTGCCACCTGTCTGACCCCTGCCCACCACCCCTCGCTCTCTGCTACTGTCCTTCCCCTCCATGTGGCCTAGGGACACTGACCCTGCTGTCCCTGAAGCACACCACCTTCCTTCCTACCTCAGCGCCTTGGCACACCTTGCTCCCTGCATCTAAAGACTCCTCCTCCAGATCTGGAAGAGGTTCCATCCCTCACTTCCTCCGGGTCTCTGCTCAGACGTCACCTCCTCCAACGGCCTTCCCTAGCCACCCCCCACCCATCACTCTCCGACCCTTACTTGTTCCTCCCCACATCGTTCTTAATCACGACCCCATATTATATTATGTCATTGTTTGTGTGTTTGCCTCTCGTCTGCCTTGCCCACCAGGATGTCAGCAAATGGATGGCGGCACTTAGTCCCATTTCCCATATATTCCAGCACCTGGAATGAGAAGGCCTAGCACACAGTGTGTTCAATGAATGTACATTGAATGAATGAACGACCAGCAGACCTGAATGTAGAACTGAAAAATATTCATGTTCACAAGGCTCAGAATCAATGTCTGGCCCCCATGCGGGAGGGGGGTGTCTCCTACGTGGAGAAGGGGTAAGATCCCTGGAGGGCAACAGCAAGCAAGCGCCATAGGGTGTGCTGGGGTGGTGGTGCAGGGGCTGGGGAGTGTCAGGGGTGACACTGGCCCTCCTGTCCCTGAAGCACATGGCCCCCTCCCCCAGGGCCGTGGCACTCTGGTGCCTGCATTGGAGGCCCTTCCCCCAGAGCCCTCCCTCCATCTCCCATGGCCTCGGTGTGCACGTTCCTCCATTCCTCCGGTGCAAAACTGTCCTCTGGGGCACCAAGGGAACGTGTCTTCAGTCCTCAAAACCCTTCACGGCCCTGCCCTTTCTCCTGGAGAGCAGTCATCCATTATGGGCGGGATTCCCCCAGGGGACCTCGGAGGTGGGGCTAGCCCAGTCGCCGGGAGGTGGGCTTTGGAGTCCGGACCAGAGCTGAAGGCCGGTGGCTGGCTGTGAGGTTTCAGTCTGTGATCTGCCTGCCCTGTTGAAAGGGTTTTGGGACCCGTAGCTAGGAGAAGGATAGGAGGGCACTGCAGAGCACCCCAAAGGGATAAAAGTCCACATCGCGTCCTCAGGGCTGTGCATCTTAGGGAAGTGGGGGAGTGTGAAGCATGGAGGAGAAGGCAGTCTGGTGGAGAGGACAATGCCTGGTGGGCAGGACACTGCCACGTGGGCTCTGGCCCTTGGGTCAGTGCTGGTCCCAGGCCTGGCTGAGGCCTGGGGGTGCACACTGGCCTAATCGAATTAATGGCTATCAGTTATTAAGCACATATTCTGTGTCAGACAAGGATCCAAACACTTCACCGGGATTAACGCTCCCCAGAAACCAGAACCATTATTATGATCCCCAATTTACAGATGGGGAAACCGAGTCCCACAGAGGCCAAGAGGCTTGCTGGAGGACCACCCAGCTGCTGAGTAGGGGAGCCAGGATTCCAACAATCCCTGAGGGCCAGCAGAGGCCGTGCCCCTGAACCCTCCCGTGTATCTCCGAAATGGAAGGCTGGCCGGAGAGGCACCTAGCCTGTGCCCAGTAAATACTTGCTGAATGAACAAATTCAGCGGGTTCATGCCTGTCCACAAATCTCTCTCCCACGGGCCTCAGTGCCCTCAGTCCCCTCACTAGGAGACACTATCACTGTGCTGCTCTCGTCACTGCCGCCCAGTGTGCTCGGGCCCCAGCACAGGGAACAACCACGACAGCCAGCCTTGCAAGGACAACATTATCACCCCCTGTTGCAGAGGAGAACCCTGAGGCGGAGAGAGAGCTGGGAACCAGAACCCAGATCGGCCGCCTGCACAGCCTGAGGCCCTTTGGAAGTGCAAGCACCCTGGGAAGGGTAGCACATTAAATGTCATTGCCATTTACATCTGTTGGTGAGGGGTGTTGCCCAGCTGCTAAAGGTCACAGAAGCTGAGCTGATGGGAAGGGGTGGGGGGAGGAGGGGGCATGGCTTTGGAACATAAGGGGCTGAGAGGAAGCTGGTCTGGTGGGTGCAGGAGGGAGCCAAGGTGTGAAAGGAAGTGGGACAGGGTCAAAAAATAGACCTCCAGCACTTCCCAGTTTTTGGTTTTGTGTGGTTTGGTTTGGTTTTCATTTTGCTGTATCTGCAGCTTGAGAGGGAAGAGGTTTGTTGGCTCGGCCCCGGAGATGTTGTGTGGCCTCCGGGGCCTCTGACCTTTCTGGTGCCACTGGTCCCCAGAGCTCTCTGCTTGGGCGGACTCCCACCTGTGCCCGCCCCCCTGCAGCTGAGCTCAGAGGAGGGGCTCAGAGGGAGGCTGGCCCAGCGCTTGCTGCACCTACGCCTCCCACAATGATGGGCAGGTGGAAACTAGCTGACCGCTCAAATGGAGCGAACTTTGGAGTCCCCTGGAGCTGCCCAAGGCACAGAGGCAGCCCCAGGCTCTCTGAGGCCTCCTGGGTGTCTGTGGCCCAGAATGGGTCACGGGCACAGCTGATCAGCCCCTAAGCTCACAGGACCCCAAGGTGCTTAGGCCAGGTGGCGCCTCCTCTCATCCATCCCCCCTCCCTGCAGGGACATCTCTGGACACCAGGGAAGGAAGGATATCTGTTCACTGAGCCCCTGCTCTGTGTCACAAGCTCTTGCTAGGCATCTCATACACTTTCTCTTTTAATGCTCACGATGGCAGGTGAAACAGGGGCTCAGAGAGGGAAGCAGCTTGTCCGGAGCCACCCCGACCTGGAGTGGACGCCAGGCTTGGCGGCTCTGGCCTTTGCTCCCACCGTCTCGCGCCAGCCTCACAGCTTGAGGGCTCCCTCTGGCTCCGGAGTGACCTCCTCCTCCGCAGGGACTTCCCCCTTTGGCACCCTTGTGCCCAGATGAGAGGATAGGACAGGGAGGAGGGCGGGGAGAACAGGGTCAAAGGGTCAAGCCCAGGGAAGTGCCCCTTTTGGCCTCCTGCACCACAGCAGCTAAACTGCCATGGGGTCTGGGGCTGTTGGAGGGCAGAGCCCAGAGGACACCATCAGCTATGACCATTCAGGGGCTGTCGGGCCCCTTTGTGTGTCGAGGGGGAAGCATGACAGAGATGAAAGAGCTTGGTGGGACCTGGACAGGGACACGATGCTCACAGCAAGCTGTCAGGGACTTTTGGCCACTCCGTTCTCACTTCCCCCAAGTCCTCCTGCAGGCCCAAGGGGCTGGTGGGGTTTTCCGTGGCGACTTCCTCCATGACGCCCCTTCTCTGACTAGCCGGTTCCTCCGTCTTCCTCTGGCTGCCCTGGCGGGCCCGGGCTTCCCTGGACCCTCACGTGGGGTCTGCACCAGGAGCCTCCTCCGGCGGGGCACGGCTGGGGCTTTCTCCCACAGAGGCAGCAGGTGTGGCCGGATTCCCGGGGGCCTCTGGGGTGGGATCCTCGGATGGGGCAAAGGAGGCTTCATCGCAAGGGTTGGGGGCTGGGTTGGCAGCAGGTCCAGGGGTCTGGGCCTCCAGACTCGCCTGTGACTGGGCCACAGAGTCCAAAGCGGGCAGGGCCTCATGGTCTGCCTGTGGCTGGGCCACAGAATCCAACTGTGCCTGGGCCGTGGGGTTCACCTGTGGCTGGGCCACAGAATCCAACTGTGCCTGGGCCGTGGGGTTCGCCTGTGGCTGGGCCACAGAATCCAGCTGTGCCTGGGCCGTGGGGTTCTCCTGTGGCTGGGCCACAGAATCCAGCTGTGGCTGGGCCGTGGGGTTTGCTTCTGGCTGAGCCACAGAATCCAACTGTGGCTGCGCCATGGGGTTCACCTGTGGCTGTGCCACCGAATCCGACCGTGGCTGGGCCGCGGGGTTCGCCTGCGGCTGGGCCTCAGTAGCTGACTCTGGCATAGCCTGCCCCCCTGAGTCCACCTGGGTCTGGGGCTCGGCCGGCATGAAGCTGCCTGGCCGTTCCTCGCAGAGCGCAGCCGCAAAGGAGGAGAGCACAGTGCGCAGCAGGTCCCGGAGGTCGGCGCTGGCCAGGAGGCAGAGAAAGGGGCTGAGGCAGCTGTTGAGAAGGATCAAGTAGTCAGAGTATACCAGCACCTCCCAGAGGAGGTAACCAGGGTAGATGTCCCACAGGAAGGCAAGGTACAGCAGCTGTGCCAGCTGGTAGGGCAGCCGCAGGACCACATAGGCTGACAAAATGGTCTTGGCCACACGGGCAAAGCCTCGGCAGGCTGGGGGTCTCGGCTGGCGGCGGCAGCAGGTCTTGCAGGCGGCAGCCTGGGTAAGCACGTGGCAGACGAGCAGCAGGAGGAACGGCAGGAAGCCCCCCAGGATCTCCAGCATGCGCAGCGGTAGCTCCTCGCTGTCCCAGAAGTCCAGGCAGATGACCAGGTCATACCACCAGATGACGGCCTCGGGGAAAATCAGCCAGGGCACACTGAAGAGTGTGGCCAGCACCCAGACCCCGGCGCAGACCCAGAGGGGCAGGCGGACCGGGCGGCGCCCGGGGTACCAGCGTGGGCAGAGCGCCAGCAGGCATCGGTCCAGGCTGAGGGCTGTCAGCAGGAAAAGGCCAGAGGAATAGGACACGCCCCACAGGAAGTAGTAGAAGCGGCAGGCCGCCGTCCCCAGCGGCCAGTGCCCTCCGTGCTGGATCTCCAGGATCTGGAAAACCGCTGCCGCCAGGAACAGAAAGTCAGAGAGGGCCAGGCTGAGCAGGAGCAGGGCCAGCCGTGTGCCCGCTCCCTGCCGGGCCTGCGAGCCAGCCAGCCACGCCATGAGTGCGTTGGCTGGCAGCCCCAGGAGCAGCAGGGCCACCAGGAAGACCGTGTCCCAGCTACCCTGTGGGTAGTAGTCCTCATCTTCGAGTTCAGTGCGGGGCCGGCGGCCAAAGACACCCAGGTTGGCGTCCATAGCAGTGTCCATCAGAGGTCCCCAGGGTAGCACTGGATGCAGAGCGGCACCTGGTAAATCAACAAAGGCATTAATGACTGGTTATGAGGAAGTGCTGTGCATCTCCAGGCAAGTCACTGTCCCTCTCTGGGTATCATTATCACCTTTTGAGTAGTCACCCTACACCAGGGACTTTAATAGATCACGTCGCTTAGTCCTCATGCAATCCATTTTGCAGGGGATGAGAGGAAGGTTCGGAGAGTCAGGGACTTGCCCCCGTCAGAGGCAGGAATGGAGGCTCCGGGACCGGACGCGGGTCCGACCGCCCGCCACTCAGGATCGCACTGCACCCGAGGAGGCTGAGCCAGGGCTTTCGGACACATTCCTAAGGCTGGTGGATCTTCTCTTTAAATAGAGTATTATGCTGGGTTTCAGGCGGGCCGCCTTTAATTCCTGTGAACTCAAGGGAGCGCTCAGATTAAAGGAAGGGCGAGGACCCCAGGGCCGCAGGGAACAGTGTGAAAACCACTCGATCAGATCATTGCAGGCCCCTTTTCTCTGGTATTCTGGGGTTCCAGTGCTTAAAAGTCCAAAAAGGGAGGGCCCAGGTCCCCTGGGTCCACAGGGATTCAAGGGTGGCCGGGAATTTGGGGCCGAGGAGGCCCCTCCCCCAGCGCCTGCTGCACCTGACCTCAGGGTGAGACCTGCCGCTGCCCTGGGAGCAGCTCGAGCCTCTGCTTCCTTCTCTGGCCCCACCGTGGCCCTGCCCCGTTCTCCCTGCTCAGGTGGAAGGTGGCCCCAGCTGTCCGGTGGGGCTGCTACACAGAGCAGGGGCTCAGCAGTGTGATGAAGATGAGGGTGGCTGCCACCCCCGCTTCCCGCGATGGCGGAGCGACTCTCCCGTTCAGGGCAGAAAGCCCTGATGGCAGCGTGGAGTCAGGGGACACCCTGCAAAGGCCGGATCCCCCTGTGGCCCATGGCTCCAGCCGCCTGGCCTCCCGCCCGGGGGGCCTCTCCCCACCCCCCGCCCCACCCAGGGCTCTTCCTCAGGCAGACCCCGCTCCGCAGGCTCCAGCCCCTGCTGGATCAGAGCCCTGGCTCGGCTTACCTGTGAGGTAAGGCTGCTGGCCGGAAGGAGCAGGGCGGGCCTGCCTGCCCAGCGGTCTAGCCGTCTGCGGGGCCTCGCACCGGGGCCCGCTGCACGGCGCTGGGCGGCGCTAAGGCGGCCCGCCTGAAACCCAAGCTGAGGACATCAATCATTCATGGGGCTGCTCACTGGGAAACCCTAACCCCGGCCCAGTAGGGCCAAGTGACCAGCCGGCCCCCTCATCCTTGAAAACGCCAGATGGCTGAAGCCCCCCATCCTGGGCCGCTCCAGCTCAATGTGGGCGCTGGGTCCCCCAGTGCCCACCCCCTCTGCCCTCACCTCCATGCCTCTAAATCCAGCATCCAAGGCTTCTCTTCCCCAATTTCACACACCCTCTGCCCCAGCCAGGGTGTCACCCATGAGGGGGCTGCAGCAGGCAGTTCGCCCCATCCTCACTCACCTCCCAGCCTTCGCCCACACTCTTCCTCTTGCCTGAGATCCCTGCTCCTGTCCTCTCCTAGCTCAGTGCTGCCCTCCTCACACGGCTGGGCTGAGTCCCTGCCCCTTCAGCGATGTTGCCCCCAATGTATGGGTAAGGCAACTGAGGCTTAGAAAGGTGACTTTGCTGGGTCTCCCAGCTCATCAGTGGGCAGACTTGCAGCCTGAAGGTCATTGCAGCCACCATGTCCTGGCACCCACTGTGGCTGAGCACAGTCCTCTTGACCCAGCTGCCCTGGCCCCATGGAGCAGAGGGCCCCGATTAGGGCCTGGGCTGCCTCCCTCACTTAGCCTAATCCCCCTCAGGGCCCATCTGTGGCCATGAGCTCTCGGGGCGCATAAGCAGCTTTACGGGCCCGAGAGCCAGGGGCGCTTTCTTGCACTATGTCTCTGAGCCCTGTCACCTGTCTCCGCATGGCCACAGAGCAGGTGAGGGGGCAGCATGGCCCAGACCCTGCCCCCAGCCCCCAGAAGCCGCCTGTGGGGGTCGTGGCTCCCAGGAGCAGCACTGAGGGGCACCCCGTGGCCAGGAGGAGGAGCACGAGGGAGAGGGGCCTCCGAGGGTCCTGGGGAGGCGCTGACAGCTCTGGGAAGCAGGCCCCCCTCCAGGGCGCTGAAGAGCCAGCCCCTGTAGCCCCGCGGGCAGCCTCTCGGCGCCTGTCCCACCGGCACCGTCCTGCCCCGCCCCTCGATGCTGCCCAGAAGACATACGGGCCCCTGCTCAGCTGCATCTTTGGGAAGGTCAGGTGGGGCCTGGGCAGGGCTGGGGGCCTGGACGAGGGGCGGGGGAGAGACGGGGCGGCGGGGGGGGGGACTTGGGCCCTCTGTTCAGCCCACCCTGCCCTCTAGAACTCAGGCCGCCTGCCACTTCTGCTCAAAACCCTGAAGCCTGGCCGAGGACAGTGTTTCTGGAGTTTGAGGCAGGGAAGGCCTTGGGCTGGCCTGGGCTGCGGGTGGGCCTGGACTTTGCACCCAGATTCCGTGAGAGCTCAGGACCCCAGCAGCAAGAAGAGGGGTCGTCTCTTGTCCTGGGGCCCACGGGACTTTGGCGGCCTTCTCCTGCCCTTGTGGGGCTGGCCCTGCCCAGGTCAGTGTTGGCAGGGGCTGGGGGAGGCCGGCCAGAGTCCTCGCTGGCCCTGGGGACGTGCTGGCCTATGCCCCTGCAGGACCGCAAGCTGGCCCCCGAGGAGCTGGATGGTGAGTGACCCTGGCTGGTGGCCGCAAGTGGGAGGTGTCCCTGAGCCTGGCTCCTGGGCCTGACCTCCCTCCCCCGCAGAGCTTCAGGCTGCCTTTGAGGAGTCTGACACTGATCATGACGGCTACATCGGCTACCGGGAGCTGGGCGCCTGCATGCGGACGCTGGGCTACATGCCCACCGAGATGGAGCTCATCGAGGTCTCGCAGCTCGTCAAGATGCGAAGTCAGTGTCCAACCCCACCTGCCCGGGGTGGTCTGGGCGACCAGCCAGCGGTGTGGCGGGGGTAGGGCAAGGAGAGGACAGTTTCCAGGGCAATTTGACAGTTGAAAATTGGCGCCTTCAGATGCAGGGACACCAGGGAGGAAGGAAGGCACCGGGGATCCAAGAGCGGCCCTGGGGCCGTGCGGGGCTTCGGGTTGAAGGAGCCTTCCTCCGATTTCGTGCTAAAGTGCTTCCTGCTGGCGCCGCCGCCTCGCTCTCTGTCTGTCTCCTTCTAAGAGACTCCTGAGTTTCAGTGAGGTCTAACGTGACAGAATCCTGGCTCTTCCTTGCGATTAAATGAAGGATGGGCAGGCACTGTGTGCTTCTCATTAGCTGATTTGTCAAATATCAGATTCCCTCCATTCCAGGACACCGCGCTTGTTTTATCTTAATGGTTCCACAGCGGGATGTGATTCACTATGGATGTGAACATCTTGGTTCTTTTCTTTTCTTTTCTTTTCTTTTCCCAAAGCTGTTATTTGACCATTGATTTTTAAAAATAAACGATGGCATCTTAGAACTGAGGGGCGACCTGGGCACGCTCCTTCAGGGGCCTTTATTGCTGCCCCTGGGGTCTACCCACACGGTAGCCATGAACTCCTGCCGGCGTGCACCGCAGCAGGAAGCTCTCCTGTCCTCAGCCTAGGACAAGGAGGGCTATTTAGTCAGTCACCCAAAGCCTCGCATAGCAAGGCAGCAGAGACAGGGCTTAGATCGAGGACTGCCCGGTTCCAAAGCCTGCTGTCTTCCCCCCACACCTGGGTGCTTCACTGAGTGCACCCCCCCACAGAAAATGGGGCCCCTGCCCTCTTTCCTCCCGAGGCGATGGATGCTGGGTGTTCTTTCCTGGATGCAGAGCCAGGAGGGACTGGCCCTAGCGATGGCCCTCCACTGTGACACTCTGCTTGAGTCTGCAGTGGGTGGACACGTGGACTTCGAGGAATTTGTGGAACTGATGGGCCCCAAGCTGAGGGAGGAGACGGCGCACATGCTCGGGGTGCGGGAGCTGCGCATCGCCTTCCGAGAGGTGTGGGGCGCCCGAGGCGGCGGTGCGTGGGCGGCGGGACGGTTGGTTGGTTGGTCGTCTCCCACCCAGGCCGGGGGAGACGGAGAGCGGGGGCCTCAGCCTCGGGAGGCCCAGGGCCCTGTTGATGGTAGAACTGGGGCCAGGGAGGGGTTGGAGAGGGTTTGGCTCACCCCGGCTGGGGAATCCACCCAGGGAGGCTTCCTGGAGCAGGAGGGCCAGGGGGCATCCAAGGACAAGGACGCGGAGGTGGGGGTGGCCTTAGGTGGGAGGGGCTGAGCCCTGCTGGGATCCTAGTTTGACAGGGACAGGGATGGACGAATCTCGGTGGCAGAGCTGCGACAGGCAGCGCCAGCTCTGCTGGGGGAGCCGCTGGTGGACCCTGAGCTGGATGAGATGTTCCGAGACGTGGACCTCAACGGGGACGGCTCGGTGGACTTTGACGGTAAGTCTCCTTCCCCGACAACCCCACTCCGCCCCCTCCAGCTCCCAGGCTGAGCCCGGCAGCTCCTGGGATCCCTGACCCAACAGCGGCCCCTTCTCTCCCGCAGAGTTTGTGATGATGCTTTTCCCCCGCTGAGGCTCCGGGCAGGAGGCTGCGTGGTCCCTCTGGCCCCAGACCGCAGGGTCCTGCTGCACACCCTCCCCGCGAGGCCCCAGAGGAAAGAGAGGGGCTGCCTGCAGGCCTCTTCTGCCGGACCCTGCCTGGCTGGAGAGCTGGCTGGAGAGCTGGCTGGAGAGCTGGCTGGAGATAGTCCGGTCCCGCCCTCATCTTCCCTTTCTTCGCACCTCAGTTCCAGGAGAAAAGCGGCACTCAGCTGCCTGTCATTCCCCCGTGTGAGCAGGGGTTGGATCTCTGCAGCCCTCTGGAGGGAGGGAGCTGCCTGGCACTGGCAGTATGCAAAAACGGGGGGAAGAGTGGGCCGCTGGACAGGGTGCCTCCACTGCTTCAGTGTGAAAAAAAATTTTTTTTTAAAGTAGAACTCGAGCCCTGACTGGTGTGGCTCGGTTGGGTGTCATCGCTCAAAGCAAAAAGTTGCCAGTTCGATTCCCTGTCGGGGCACATGCCTGGGTTGTGGGTTCAGTCTCTGGCCGGGGTGCATGAGAGAGGCAACCGATCAATGTTTGTCTTCCTCTATTTCTCTCTCCCTTCCCCTCTCTCTAAAAATAAATAAAATCTTTTTTTTTTTTAACCAAATTTGAAAGGAAAAAAAGGAATGACCCCAGGAAAGAGAGAACGCCAAGCTGGGTGGGGGAGGGAGCAAACACTGTGGCGGGGGAGGGGCGCTTCAGACCTGGAGCCTGCACTCTGACACCAGCAGTGAGGAAGGGCCTGTGGGCACCGGGGAATGAGACGCAGCCCCGAGTACACGCCGGAGTCTTAAAGGGATACCCTGTCCTGGAAGAGGGAACCAAAATATCCTTCCACCGCCCAGCCTCAGGAATTGGCAAAGGTGCAGATGTTCAGGGCCTTGAGTGGAAAAAGTGACCCCAGAGAACCCAAAACTCAGGCCTGCAGGACAGGCAGGCTTGTGGCCGATGCCGTGGAGAAATCGGAAACGATTGCTGGCAAGGGCTCTCCTTCTACCCTGGGCCCATAGGACTTAAAATACACACACACGCACCCTGTCACTTTTGAGGATGAACTCTTGACAAAAAATTACAAATCACATAAGAAAACAGCCACCTTTAGGGAGGCTACGCAGCTGCAATAAACAGGACAATTGGTACCCCAAAGTGTAAATAAAAGAACCGTTTAAGAGAGACCACAGGCCCTGGCTGGTGTGGCTCAGTGGATTGAGCGCTGGTCTGCAATCCAAAGGGTCGCTGGTTCCATTCCCCATCAGGGCGCAGGCCTCGGTTGCAGACCAGGTGGGGGTGTGTGTGAGAGACAACCACACACTGATGTTTCTCTCCCTCTCTTTCTCCCTCCCTTCCCCTCTCCCTAAAAATAAATAAATAAAAATAAAAATCTTAAAAAAAAAAAAAGAGACCACAAAATAAAAGCTGAGAAATTGAGAAATTGAGATAAAAGAAAGAAAAGAGACCAATATGCAGTAACAGGATAGTATTAAAATTGAACAGGGAGATTAAAAAATATAACATAGTGGAACTTCTAAAAATAAAGGATATAACTACGGGAATGAAAAAAAAAAATCCCAACGGATAAGTTAAACAGCAGATTAGAAACAATTTAAGAGAGGATTAACAAACTGGAAGCTATTACCTGAGAAGTCACTCATAATGTTAAGGATAAAAAGATAAAAAAATTTAAAGGATAATTAAAAATCATTAGGAGTCTCAGAAGGAGAAAATAAAGAGAATGGACATGAGGCAATAGTCAAAGAGATGATGGCTGGAATTTTTCATAAAGACGAGCCAGAGAAGGATAAATAAAATTAAGTGTATATCTAGGTGCATCCCAGGGAAACTGCAGAATACAAAGTGAAAGGGAAAGGGGTTCCTATCCACATATTCTCATTGAAGGGATGGCTTCAGTAAGAAGGAAATTCAGCCCTGGCTGGTGTGGCTCAGTGGACTGAGTGCTGGTCTGCAAACCAAAGGCTTGCTGGTTCAATTCCCAGTCAGGGCATGTGCCTGGGCTGCCAGCCAGGTCCCCAGTCGAGGGAATACGAGAGGCAACCACACATTGATGTTCCTCTCTTTCTCCCTCCCTTCTTCTCTCTCTAAAAAGTAAATAAAGTCTTAAAAAAAGAAGGAAATTCAGTCAGGAATGAAGGTAGAGTATGTACTAGATAATAGTCAGGAAGAAACCAATAAACACACTGGAGGATCTAAAGAAGCATTTACTGTAAAAAAAAATAATTTTCATTTTAATTTGGGTGATTTTGAAGACAAGGAAGGACTAAACTAAAAGGTAAAAACAAAATGGAAGGTGGGAGGGGATACTTTAGAGATTCTGAAATCTTTTTGTTTTTCCTAGAGGATAGATTAATTGATTTACTTTAGATGTTTTTAACCATTTAATGGCAATCATCAATATAATATAAATAGGTATAGAATGAATCATAGAAGAGGAAAAGGGGGAAAGTGTTCTTTTATTTAATTGGTAATACTTTTTTTTTTAAAAAGATTTTATTTATTTTTAGACAGAAGGGAAGTGGGGGAGAGAGGGAGAGAAGCATCCGTGTGTGGTTGCCTCTTGTGCACCCCCTACTGGGGACCTGGCCCGGAACCCAGACATGTCCTGACTGGGAATCAAACCAAAGACTCTTTTGTTCACACGTGGGTGCTCAATCCACTGAGCCACACCAGGCAGGGGACGAAAGTGAAGAGTTCTTGATTAAGCCAGGAGAAGGCTGGGAAAGGGGGAAAAAACCAAAGGAAAACAGAGTTCATAGAAAACATTACAACAGAAGGTAGAAATAATCCTTCAGAAAACAAAAATTACAATAAATAAAAAAGATTTTCAGTTAAAAGTTTGAGTCTCAGTCCCAGAAGAAAGTATCAATATTAGATTGGGTTCCCAGTGAGTGACAGAGAGCCAACATATCAATGCCTTAAACCAGAGGGAAGGGTTTTTCCCCCACAGGAAGTCTAAGGCAAAATCCAGCTGTAGGGTCTTCAGAGACCGGGCTCCTTCTGCTGGCTGCTTGGCCATCCTAGGGTGTGCTCACGTTTGTCTTTCAGCTGGCAGGATGGAGGAGAAAGCTAGGCAAAGTGTGCGAACCACATAATTATACCCAATTAGGTAAGGCTCCTCACCTAGATGCAGAGGATGCTGGGAAATGCGATCCTTGTTTGAGGTTCTACAACTACAACAGCAGAGGGCAAAACTAAGGGCAGATACAGACTCATCCCCACAGCTGAGCACAGGATATGAGACACATTCAAAGCATAATGACAACTGCGAGGCTGAAAGTGAAAGGGGGCTGAAATTGCAAGGAGAAAATTAGCCGAAAGGAAGTGTGGGCTATGAGGCGAAAAGCATTAGAGTGAGAGTCACCGTTCACTAAGGAAATCCAACATTCCTAACGTGCACAAGTATTAACATGTTTCCCAACTGAACCTAAATTATGTTTAGAGTTTAGATATTCCTTATTCCCTGAGGATAGTGTTGCTGTCAGTCCAACTTGGATGACATCAATTAACCAGCAATAACCAAGCACCTCAGCTCCGTTACAACCTTAAACGTTTTGATCCCGGGTTCTGTCAAAGGGCTCGAGGGCTGGCGAGCGTTTTCTGTACAGGGCTGCGCAGCAAAGATCTGAGGCTCCGTGGACCACGCGGTTTCTGCTGCAGCTGCTCACTGTGCTGTTGTAGTTGGTGAGCAGATGGGTGCGGCTGGATTAGGACTTTAATCAAGAATAATTAATTAAATTTGATTGATTGACCATGAAGTGTGAATTGTATGAAGTTTCATGAGTCACAAAATCGTATGTTGTTATTCTTTGACTTTTTCCCAACGATTGTAAAAATGTGGAAACCATCCTCCGTGTGGGGCTCTTTCAGGCCTGTGGACTACAGCTTGCTGGCTCCTGATACAATGCGGGGAGTCACCAGTTCTGGGGTGACTGGTATGGCTGTGGCATGACAAAAAGTTATGAACGTAGCAGCAACTCTGCAATAATAACTTGCCGGTTTGATGACTTTGAATGAATGGTTTTCCTGATTTTACTTTTTTCCTATGTTTGTTCCAATTATATTTATTGAAATGTAATTGTCTGTCCGATGAATCCGGTAACACAAACTGTGGGCTGGATTCTGCATGTCTTTGTTTTTTATTTCACTTTTCCAGTTCCTATTTTACCTTAATGTACTTGTCCATGATGAAATTAGTAATGCAAATTGGTTTTCACTTCAGCTGCTTTGAGAACCACTGATTTAGGAGTTTCTGCATCCAAGGTGCGTCCCGTCCTCGGAAGTGCCTTGTGCGGGGGAGGAGGGCGGGCAGTGGGGGGGGGGCAGGGAACACCGAGCCGGAGCAGTGGTCTGGGGGTTCCTTCTTTTCTTCAACAAAGTCACAGAAACCAAAAGGCCCTGTTCTGCCTGCTGCCTACACAGGAAAAGCCATGCCAGGCTAAGTTCCTTTTGTTTTGTTTTTTTAAATCTTTTTTAGATTTTATTTACTTTCAGAGAGAGGAGAAGGGAAAGAGGGAGAGAAACATCAATGTGTGAGACACAGATGGATTAGTTGCCTCTAGCACACCCCCAGCCGGTGACCTGGCCCACAACCTAGGCCTGTGCCCTGATGGAATTGGACCAGTGACCTTTCAGCTTGCAGGCCAGCGCGCCATCCACTGAGCACACTAGCCAGGGCCCAAGTTCCTTCTTAATGGAGTTCACGTTTTACTGGGAGTGATAAGACTGTAAACATGTAATTACATGAACAGGGTCTCCTCAGCCCACACGTGTTCATCCAGGCCCTCAGTTGTCCTGTTGGTGACCACCAGCTCAGTGACCTCCTCCCAACCGGTGTCACGGAAGCCCTGGGTTATGTTCCTAACTGTGCTCAGGTGAGTCCGTCTCTCTGGGTCCCGATTTCCTCATCTGTGAAACGGGGCTGAGGAGGTGAGGACCGGAAATAACCTGTTAGGTGCTCAGCACAGGCCCTGGTGCCTTCTGAGTTTGATAAATGGTAGCTATTATGACCTCTGATTTCAGGGTTTCCAGAGATTCTGTTTCCCGGTTCTTAGGATTCTGAGATATTTGGATTATTCAAAATCCTGAGATGATGTTCCCAATGTTCTGTGGTTCTGAGTCTTCGATCTCTGAGGTTCAGCCATACAGGCCCCACTTCCCATGTCCTTTCCTCTGTCTCCTATTTCTCCCAACCCCCAGGCCTAGGAAGTAGGGCAGTGGGTGGAGGGGGCTGGGCCGCCGCCGTGCCATGGCCCACATTCCGCGCTGGCTTTGGCAGCCCAAGGCCCCAGAGCCAGACTGGAACCAGGATAGCAGCCTCCAGGCCCCAGGCCTGCGTCATCTGAGTGCCCTCAGCCAAGGCAGGTCCTAATGCTGTCCCTACAGCTGAAAACGAGGGCAGAGTGGACAGCGCAATGAGTTGGTGCTGTGGGGAGGCCGGAAGAGACCCTTCCAAGGGTGTTGTGGTCGAAGGGTCCCAGGCTAAGCTTGGCCCCTAACACACCGCCTCGGGCAAGCCTGGGGCATCAGGGCTGTCCTGTGTACAGCGGGGAGACGGGTGGTGACGGCGCCCCTTGGTCCCGTGGTCAGCCCTTTTCTCAGCCTTTGCGGGAGGGGGCTGTGGCCAGGCTGATGAACCGGCTGAAAGCAAAGAACAATTCTCTACTGGATATAAGTACGCCATTTATTAGCACTAAACACCACAAACCCAGGATCCTCAGGGCCCAAGAATAAGTTAAGGCACAGAACAGGCAAGGGGAGGCTTTCCCAGGCCCAGGAAAAGGGCGCGCCCCAAACTTCCTGAAGAATCTCCGGATGGGGCCCGAGCCTGGAGGGTCCTGGGGAGACTTTTCCATCGAGATGAGGGAACCGGAGCAGCGCAGGCCGAGGAGCACCCCCTGGGGACGAGAGGAGGCCACCAGGGGCAGACGTGGATCCCTGCTGTCCCTGTCCTTCGGCGCCTGCAGGCGGCTCACTTCTCGAAGTAGGGCAGGTAGAAGAACTGGAAACCCCGGTGGCCCTTGACCGCGCAGTAGATGAAGATCACGTGGTAGACTGCAGGGCGGGGCCAGTCAGCGCCGAAGCCCCGCCCCTCCCCAGGGGCCGCCCCACCCCATCCTCCTCCCCCTCCCCCAACCCGCCAGCACCCCTCGCACCTCCTGGGACCAACAACAGGAAGCCGGGTACGAAGAAGATGGCGCTGGAGACACCTTCGGGAGGAGAGGAGGGGCTGGGTCAGGGCGGGGAGGCACCTTCGGCAGTGGAAAGGGGCCCTTTCTGGCTGGGAGGGTGGTGAGTAATGGGAGCGGGGCGGGCTTGCCAAGAGCCCTGGGCACTAAAGGGGGGTGAGCGCGGCCTGCGGAGGTGGGAGGGGGCGCTCACCTGGTGAGGGGGCCACCTCCAGTCCCACGCCGATCAGGATCAGCACTGCACACAAACGGAGCCGCAAGGGTGAGGGTGGGAGCAGGGGACAGGAGCGTGGACCTCCAAGCGCACCCCCGACATGGCTTAGGCTTGAGGCATGGCGGTACCCGACCTGAGCTGAACGTTCCCTGGGCAGAGACCCTCCCCAGTAAGTTCGCCAAGGCCTGTGTTTTCCGAGCAAGACACCTGGCAGGCCCCGGGAAATGTCTGCAAGGAGAGATTTTTACCTGCTCCTTGGTGGCACCTATCAGTCAACCAACAAACATTTATGGAGCACCTGGTACTGGGAACGGGGCAGGGTCAGATGAGGTCCCTGCCCTCATGGCCCTTCCATAGTGGAACCAACAAGAACCTCCAGGCTACTGCCTGGGGATCTGGGGGGTAAGATCAGGCAGCATGGAGCCTGGGGCAGCGGCATCTCAGCTGAGCAGGGTAGCAGTAGCAACAGCAGTTAGCAGCCACTTACCAGGTGCTGTCAGACACTGGGCTAATAAGCACATTACATGCACGCCTTATTTAATTATCACCTTGACAGAATGAGACGGGTATGATCCCCATTTCACAGAAGATGAAACTGAGGCACAGAGAGAGACAGGGACTTGCTCAGGGCTGCACTGGGAAGGCGGAGGCAATCTGACTCTAGAGGCTTTGTGACGGGCTGATGTCAGGCAGGCAGAGAGAGAAAGGATTCCAGACAGAGGACAGTCTGGAGGGGATGTGGGGCTTTCTAGAGGCTTCCAGCTTTTGGTGAGACTGGAGAGACAAGAGCCCAGGCTTGAGGCGTTGGCAGGGTCTCTAGGCCCCTGGGAGGGATGTAGACTTTGGCTGAGGACAAGGGGGTGTCAGGGGAGGTGGGGAGGTCACAGCTGGGTCGATTTTTCACACTCAGAGAGAGTCCTGGGTCCCTAGGTCGAGGACAGGCGTGGGGAGGGGAGTTGTGGGCTCTGCAGCAAGGGCGGGCTATAGCACGGAGGCTTGAGTGGCCACTGTGGACTGTCACTTGGTTTGTGCACCTCTAAGAGTATATAATGGGGGCTAAAACTCACTCCCTGCAGCCTGGCTTAGGGCTGTGCGCTCTGCCCACTCCAAGTAGGCGTCTTCTTTCTAATTCCTACAGAGGCCCTTTAAGGGGCATATGGTCTGGCAATGTCACTGATGTGGGCTTAAACCCCAGCTCATCTACTTCTTAGCTGTGACCTGAGGAAGTCCCTTCACCTGCCTGAGGCTGTGTCTTTCTTTCTGGCCTGGGATGGTGATTATGCTCGCCCTGTTGGGTGTTGGGAGGGGATAAAATGAGGTAAGGCAGGTGGCCAGTGTGACCAGTGCCCTGTGTGCAGGTGTTGGGGAAGTGGTGGCTCCCTCGCCTGCACAAGACACCGAGAGCTGAAGCAGGGACATTGCTCAGCTCTCTGGCCGGTGGTGGTGGTGGTGGGGCGGGGTGAGGGTGACACTTGATCTTCCTGGGGGACGGAGGGCAGCTGCCACAAGGGGGCCTCCTTATGGGCCCCTCTTGATCCCAACCCTAGATCCTTTCTGGGGACCCTGACTCCTCAGCCCCATAGAATGAGAAGTATGGGAGTCAGAAAACATCTGGCTGGGAGCTCTGCCTGCGCTGGGCCTCAGTGTTCCCATCTGAGCACTGGGGGCGGGAGAGCGGTCCTTGTCAGCTCTCGGACTGCAGAGGGGGAGCGACAGGTGCCCCGTGGTTCAGGCTGGCAGCCCAGGCCATGGGACTGGGCATCTCCCTGAGCACCTGCCCTACACAAAGGTTCTGGGTCACAGCGCTATCTCTTCCTTGCTGTGTGACCTCTGTCAGGTGGGGAAATAAGCCTGCCTTGCACGTGGTTTACAGTAGACAGAATAAATGGATTAAACAGGCTAAGCTAAAAAAAATAAAAGAGGTTTGGAGCACTGAACCAGTCTGCATTTTCAGCTATGTTTGAGCTCCTGGCTGAGTGGCCAGGAGGCTGGGCCTGCCCCTCTCAAAGGCCTGTTTTCCTCACCTGTACAACAGGGGCAGGGAGACGGCAGCCGGCTGCGTCCCCAGGATGCTGGGGGGCTCAGTGGGCCAAGGGGGACGCAGAGCCTGCAGAGGAAGGGGACCTGTCCCAGGGGCTCGCAGCGACACTCACCCAGCCCTAGCAGCAGCAGCAGGAAGGAGGCCAGCACTACCCTGCGGTTCTTCTGGATCAAAGGGTGTTGAGTCCAGCTGGAGAGCAGGAGAGCAGGGTGGGTGTCAAAGAGGGGACAGGAGACCACCCTCTCCTGTGGCCCTCCCCGACCCAGAAGGCGGAGCGGAGCAGCCAGGGCCCTGTGTACTGGACGGGGGCTCCGCCACAGGACACCGAGGCGGGCGGGATCTCACCTGCAGCAGGCATTGTAGGAACGCTGGGTGCTGCTGCTGATGGTGCTAAAGGACCACTGGGAGCTGCGGACGGATGTTCGGCCAGAATCCCTGCAGGACAGGTGGGCCCGGTGAGGGGGAAGGGGAGGCAAGGACGGGGTCCCTTTGGGACAGGAGTCATGACGATGTGGCAGGGGAGGGTGCTGGGACTACGGCCGGGCGTTCCTGGAGAATCGGGGCATTCAGAGGGGATGGGATGAAGAGGAGCTCAAGCGCTGGAGGTTTCCTGCAGGACTGGGGTGGAAGGTTGGGGATTCAAGCTAGGGATTCCTGCAGGACCAGTGACATGTAAGAAGGTAGGGGCCAGACCAGGCTGGGATTTCTGCAGGATAAAGAGCTTGGTAGGGGTGGGTGGGTGAGGCTGGCGCTAGGATAGGGTGACCCTGCAGGACAGAGGAAGCCAGGAGAGGAGTGGGGATCAGGTTAGGAATCCTTGCAGGGCAGAAAGTGAGAGGCTGAGTGAGGCGAGGTGGCAGACAATGGGAGTCCGAAGGACAGCAATAGTGGTATGGGGTGGGTCCCCACCTGGCCCTGACCTGGTGCTGACTCCCCCATCTGGCTCCGGAGACGCCTGGGCTCCATCCTCATCGTTTTCCAGGTTCTATTCCAGAACACAGGGCTCAGGGGTTACTGGGCTCAGGCCTGTCCTCACTCCCCTTTCAGGAAGAGGAGGCAGGCAGGCCCACACAGCTGTTTGCCCAGCTGCTTGACAGCCTCTCACCTGGCCCCTCCCCACCCCCTCCCAGCAAAGCAGAACGGGTTTGATGATTCACAAACTGAAACCAGGTAGTAGGTAGGAACAGGAGGTTTGGTGGGGCAGGAGTTGCAGGGGTTGAGGGCTCCCAGCAGGGGTCCGGGGGTCAGGAGATATCCCAAGTTTGGGAGTCAGGGTGGAGCTGTCGGTATAGTACTTCGGGGGCCCTATTAGGAGGCGGGGAAGGGAAGGCCCATGGTTTCCAGGTTTGGGACACAGAAATCTGATCCAGCTCTTCAAGAAAAGGACCCTAGAGTTTGTGGAGGTCATCTGGGAAAATGGGGATTTCCAGTTTAGTGGGAGTCAAGCTGTGGGCAAGGATTCATCGGGTGAGTGGGGGGCCCCAGTTCCGGGGAAGAGGATGGAGTGGGGAATTCTCGAACAGAAGAGAGGGTGCAGGTTCCTGTTAGATCATCTGGCCTTGGGTTCAGGAGGCTGCTCCTGAGTATGAACAAGGTCTGGTTCAGGTACAGAAGGGTTCCCCAGCTCCTCCTCCTAACATCTGATGAAGGAGTGGGATTCAGTGTTCGGGAGGGTTGAGGACTCCAGCCGGGGTGGGAGACGAGCTCCCGGGTCCAGTCTCTGGGCTCTCAAGTGGTGGCTGGGGACCAAAATCAGAGCTGAGGGTCTGGGCAGGGCTCTCCATCAGTGGCCATGTTCCCACTCCAGCTAGGGCCTCTAGACAGATTCTCCCTTGAGTTGGGGTTCTTCAGGGTCCGGCCTGGGGTCCCGCCCGACTCTTGAGGAGGACCGGACCGGTCACCTGGTAGCGAAGCCGGGACTGCTTGTCCTCGTCGGCCACCTCGAACCGCGCCCGGCGTTCGAAGTGCAGCGGCCCAAAGCGGGTGACTCCGCTGGACTCGGGGCCAGGGCCCGCGTCCTCCAGGGACAGCTCGAAGGCGTCATCGATGCTGAACTGGGGACGGGTGGCGCTCATCGCCCCCGCTTGGTCAGACGCCCTGCGCCGCCGCCATCCGCGCCCGCCTGCCCCGCTTCGCTGCGGCCCCACCCCCGCACGCAGGCCCCGCCTGGTGCCGTAGTCCCGGGAGCTCCACTGTCCGGCGTCCCGCCCGAGACCCCGCCCCCACGTAATGGCCCCGCCCCCGCCAGCCCTCAGCAGACCAGAGCTGCCGAGAGCCGAGCTGACTAGTGGGCGGAGGCATCCTCTCCTGAGCTCGCTGGCCCTCCTCTTGCGCCGCCCAGCGGCAGCCTCGGTGTGCGACAGCGGTGAAACGTACCAGTGCAGTCCCCAGGGGTGTACCGACTTGGATGGAGGGGATGTCTGCCACGCTCAGCTCTACCGGCGGAGATTGGGCCTTCTGCATTCCAGCCCGCTCCCCCAGTGTCCTGAGTGTTTGTTGACGGTATAGTCTTTCCTATAAGTCAGCTTTCAGTCCTGCTCTGATTGTCTGATCCGAGCCCTAAAAATCAGAAGCGCAGACTCGCCTGTACCACCACCAGTCCTACAGGTGTTATTTCTGGCACTGAGAGATAACAGGGAGCCAATACAGGTGACTATGCTGTGCACTCGGATTTTATTAATGCAGGTTCACTCAGTTTTTATTAAAGCAGATTTAATCCAAATCCGTACTAACCGAATAGCAATACCAATCACTCAGAAACAATCAGTAATAACACCACATGAGAGAATTGGGGGATAACGAAGCCGAGTCCCAGAGTCTCAGTCTGCGGGTCAGGGAGACAACATGGTGCGCCGTCAGCATCTTGCAAGGGAGAACCTCCGGAGCCAGGTGGGCAGCAGGGCAGATGAAGTTAGTCCAGCTGGCGGCCGGTGGCAAGGGAGAGCAGTGTGGCATGGAGCAGCACTCTGGTGTGTGGAGCTCTGTTGTCTCAGCAATAGTCTGGCAACTGCCGCAGTTATACCTTTGAGAGTGGTGGATCCCATCCTTCTGGGTCTCCTGATAAGTGTGTTGGCACCCATGATGGCAAGTGGGGGATTTCCCCAGGAACCTGTGGGTGGTCCCACTCTGCAGACATGGCTGTTCTGATCACTTGTGCAGATATCTTCGGTGTGGCTCCTTGCCAGATGTGTCTGGCATGATTTCGGTAGTTTTCCTCTTGAACTGAAGGGTCACAGCTGACTGACAGCCATCTTGGTTGACATGAGTGACTCTGCTTTGTTTTATATACTGTATGCTGTCTTGACCAGAATAATGCCATTTTATCGGTCCTGCTCTCTACATCCAGTGCCAAGGAGACTCCAGTGAACTGTGTTCCCCCCGCCCCCCACTCCCAGGGCCCTGCGTGGGAGGGGTACTCTCTCACCACCTTGCAGCTGTGCAAACAGGCTCAGAGAGCTTATGTGGCTTCCACTCTCCTCCAATCCATTCTCCACTCAGTAGCCAAAGTGTTCTTTAAAAACATATCTGATCCTTTTCTCTATGTGTTATTCTTAAATAAAAGTATATATACACACACATACAATTATGCTGCTAAGTCACTCCCATATAAACTGCCCCTTGGTTTTCCATTGTGCTTAGAATAATATCTGAACTCCTGACTAAGGCCCACAAAACTCAGAATACTCTGGTCTCTGCCTGCCTTGTCAGATCTCATCAAGTTCCCCTCTGCCCCCTACCACCTCCCTCAGCCATTCAGGCCAAACTGAACCCCACCCCAGCTTTTTCACGTGCTGTTACCTGCGCCTGGAAAGCACTTACCATCTCTCAGGGAAGCTGTCCCTGACTATGCAATCTACAGTTTCCCATCACACAGCACCTTAAAGGACCTTTACAGTTTTATCCACCACTGTGTCTACAGTGCCCAGAACAGTGTTTGGCATTAAGTACATACTAAAAAAATATCTGAAGAAGAAATGAACATGTGCTTTGTTAAAACCCCAAATGCTTGCAAGTGGAAGAACTGGGCCTTGAACGCAGGGCCACCTGGCTCCAGGAGTGCTCGTTCTCTTCCACCCGACCACCTCACTTCATTTATGACCTCCTGTACAGAGCTGTGTCAATTATGCCCCTCGGTTTGTGACACATCATCACTGTCACAATTTCCCTCCCTCTCTCCCTGTTTTCCCTCCTCCCCCGTCCCTCCATCAGCCCCACATCAGTGTGCTCAGCCAGCTTCCTGGAGTCCTGCCTGGCTCTCTACTACACAGGGCACCGGCTCCTAAGCGGGTGTGTTTGCAATGTACAAACATACAGTATAAAACTCACTCCGCTGTTTACATTTGCTCCTTTTTACGTTCAATGCTACTGTTCTCCGCGTGCATCTCATTCGATGCTCCTACTGGCTGCTCGTGGTATACCGTGGTGCACACCTAGCACTTTTATTACCCACCCCCTCCTCCCCAAGTGACACCCACTTAGCGTGGCCTGATGCCCCCATCATTCCACCTACATCACTGCTATGGACATCTCTGCGCTGTCCCCTTATGGACTGGGGGAAGAATTCTTCTTGAAATAAGACTTTCAGGCCATAGGGTCCATGCACCCTTGACTTCACGAAGTACAGCAGATGTCTTCCCGAGCGGTTGTATGAGTTTACGTGTCCGCCATGAGGGTCTGGTTTTCTCTTGGCACTTGGTATTCCAGCTTCCTCATGGCTTGCCAGTCTGATGAGTCTAAAGTGGTACCTCGTTTTTATCTGGGGTCTCTGATGACTGGAATATTTGCACAGCTCTTCGTGCACTTAACAGTCGTGGTGCTTTCCTCTTCTGTGAATAGTCTGTTCACAGCTTTTGTCCATTTTTTTTCCCTCTTGGGTTTCTAGTCTTTTTTCTGCTGATTTGAATGCCTGTACCTTTCTAAGATTTAATCCCTAGCTGGGTTTTGATGTTGCACACATTTCCTGTCTGTCTTTGTATCCTTACTTTGTCTAAGGCGCCCTGAGTTAAAGAACCGCCCTAATTTTTATAGTCAAATCCATCAGGTTTGTGCATTTTTCATCTTGTTTGAAGCATTTCCTCACCCCGAAGTGACAAAGATATCCTCCAACATCTTTTTCTGCTGGCTGTTAGTTTTACTTACTCGCTAGAAGAGTGTTGCAATGAGACATTCACTGACTTTGGAGCCCAGCTGCCTGCTCCGGAATTCTAGTCCTCCCCTTATGGGATCTTGACCGGTCAGGACTGGGGTAAGGGGAGTGAGGCGATCCTCTCAGGTGAAAAATTTAAGGGGACACCCAAAACTTAATAAGAAAGATCAACACTATTTTAATGCATTATTTTAAAAAAATCAAATTTAAGAGAAAAATCCATGATGAACAAAATATCAAAATCTCAAAGACAAGATTCGACCTTGCACGACTCCCCTCACTCGCCTCACCCTAGCGCTGACCTTGCCGTGAGCAAGTAACATAACCTCTCTGTGCCTCAGTTTCCTCATTCGTTAATGCTGTTTCCTTCACAGCATGACTTTAGGACTGAATGAATTAATAAACAGGAGCATAGCACAGCGCCTGGCTCACAGAAGTACTCAGTCAATGTTAACTGTTATTACAACTCACATTAAGATTCTGAAGCCTATGGATTTTACCTTCGCATGTGGTGCAGGGAGGCATCCAGATTTATTTCAACGTAGAGTTTTCCAGCACCACCTACCAAAAAATCAGTTCTTTCCCCCTCTGAAGTGTGGAGCTACAGTGTCCTTTATCAAGTACGGTATGTAGTCGTCAGTGAACATACGTATATCTATTTTCAGCCTTCTTTCTGGCTCCTTTGGTCCCTTGACTCACCCTTAACCAATATCAGACACTCCCTATGACTGGTCTGCAGTGGGGTTTCATATGGCAGGGTGCGTTTCCTCCCCCCCGCCCCCGCCGCCACACACACTTTGGACATATTTTTCAAACTTGACCTAGCTTTTCATAGATCTTTATTCCTCTGCAGAAATATTACAAAAAGTTTTCCAAGTTCTTCAGAAATGCTCCCAATTTCCACAGGTATTTTATTGAATTTCTAGATTAATTTCAGGAGAAATCATGGCTTTAACTGTTAAACTGTTCTATTTCTTTAACAAGCTATGCCACTTTAGTTATTCATGTCTTCTTTTATGTTCTTAAATTTTTTTCTCTCCAGAAAGTTCTGGGCTGTCTAAATACTTTCTGAATTTTATTGCTGTTATGGAGGGTACCTTATTTTCTATTATATTTTTGAGTGGGTCTTTGATAGTGTGAAGAATGTTATTAATTTTGGGGGCAGCTTATTTTATATCCCTGTAATATTGCTGGACTCTCCAATTTGTTAAAATGGTGTGAACCCTGGCCAGGCAGCTCAATTGATTAGTGTCATCCTGATACTCCAAGGTTGTGGGTTCCATCACTGGTCAGGGCACACATAAGAATCAACCAATGGCCCTGGCTGGTGTGGCTCCGTGGACTGAGTGCCAGCCTGTGAACCAAAGGGTTGCGGATTCAATTCCTGGTCAGGGCACATGCTGGGGTTGGGGGCCAGGTCCCCGGTGGGGGGCATGTGAGAGGCAACCACACATTCATGTTTTTCTCCTCCTCTTTCTCCCTCCCTTCTCTCTCTAAAAATGAATGAATAAATAAATAAATAATAAAATAATTTAAAAAACCCATTATGAGATTTTTTTGTTGATTTGTGTCACAGTGTATTTAATGTGCGGCCCAAGACAAGTCTCCTTCTAGCATGGCCCAGAAACGCCAAAAGGTTGGATACCCCATATAGATTATCAAATAAAAAAATGACAACAGTCAACACAACAATAGCTATCGGTGTGAATGAATCAAAAAATATCTTTTTGGGTTTTTTGTCAGATTGGCAAAAAGTATATTTTTTTGGTGTGCTACAGAATTTTAGTAATTAGTTTATATGTGTCATGAGATGAAAAAGGTTGAAAATTACTGCTCTAGCTTGTTGGATTTTTTTTGTTACATTTTATTTATTAATTTATTTCTAGAGAGAGGGGAAGGGAGGGAGAAAGAGAGGGAGAGAAACACCAAGTGGGGATCTGGCCTGCAACCCAGACATGTGCCCTGACTGGGAATTGAACTGCTGACCCTTT